TTAGCTCCTTTACTCGTGCCCCGGCACCGAAGAAGCATACTTAGAAACAGCCTGTGATGCGCTTCTAAGAAAAACCCATGAATGCCACGCCATCCTTCCAAAGATGCTCATGAACAGCAGAAAAGGCTTCTCGGCAAGACAAGCCCCCTAAGCCCTATCCCAAAGCACCAGTCCCCGGTGCAAAGCCAGTGATCAACTAGGCCCCCAACACCCTCAGCTCCAGACTGCTGAGAACCCTCAGCCCACAAGCACTAAACCCTATATGCCCCGAACCCCAAAGCCCTCAACCGATATTACATACCCCTCAACTCCTGAACTCCGAACCTGCAGCCCCCAAAACTTCCCAGACACCACAAACCCCACACGCAACCCCCCCAAACATCCCGGCCCCGAGACCCCCAAACTGGGCCTAAACCCCTACACTCAACCCCCTAAACAATTTAGGGTTTAGGATTTAGGGTTTAGGGTTTAGGGTTTAGGCAACCCGGGGCCTAAACCCAATATCAGAGCACCTGAACCTCCAGCAACAAAGGTCACCCTACAGAGGGGGTTCAGATAAACACTAACCCCAAGCGTCCACTATAAGGGTTCCCACAAGGGTTTCTTTAAGGGTTCCCTGAAGGGTCCATGTGCCCAAAAGAGTATATACTCTGGCTAGAGTATATACTCTGGCTTTTAAGTAGTCCCTATACAGCTACTTTAGGGCCCGGAAGCCTAGACTCTAGACCCTGATAGAATCCGTATCTAGAGCCCTTCTAGTACCCTCATAAAGATTCCCTAGGAACAGCTCCTCCAAGATCTCCGGGTGCGTGCTGATCAAGGGCGGACCTCAGTCAGAACCCGGTTCAGGGGTTAGAGTTTAAGAGCTTAGGAGTCTAGAAGTGGAGGGTTTGAGGTTTCCAGAATTTAGGGCTGTGAGGCTTTTGGGGCATTTTCGAGCCTTCGTGACGTTTAGGGATAGGAGTTACATGTCAGGGTCCATGCGCACACGCGTGTAACTGTGTGTGTTTGTCAGATCTTGGTGACCGTCGGCTCTCATCGGTGTCTACGCAGCTTTCCCGGCGCCAGCTCGTAGCAGAAGCTGGTTCCCAGAAACCGCAATACCCCTTAATTAAGGAATATACCTTAAATCATAATATCGAGGCCCCTATAATTTAAGGCATATTCCTTAACTAAGGGGTATTGGGCTCTCTGGGTTATACTTCATGCAGGCTTCGAAGGCTTTGCAGGTTTGGTGGTTTGAGCCGAGTGTTGAGCATCAGAAACGGTGCACAAGCTTTAGCAGGCGTTTCTAGCGCCTGATGCATCATGGCTTCCCAGAGAGCCCAATACCCCTTGAATGAGGAATAGACCCTTAAATTACAGGAGCCTTAATATTCGGATTTGGTTGTAGGGTCCAGGGCTGCACGAAGGTGGGCGAAACTGCAAACACGAAACGCAAATTTGCGGCAGAGGTGCATAGTTGCAAAACCTCTACCTAGAACTATAGAACATCGTGAAAGCTGAGATTCCGAAACACTTCTCTATCTGTTTGCCTGTCCATCTATCCATCCGTCCGTCTACCTGTCTGACATAACTAGGTGGGGTTCAGGATCCTGTGCCCAGAAGCCCTCAACAGGGCGGAACATGATCTCGGGCATGGTTCTTTGAGGGTTCAGGGTTTCTTTACGCTCTCAGGGGCCAGAAGTTTAGGGGTTCTGGATATTGAAGATTTATTGCCGAAGAAGGACCAATTGCAAATTATTACCTAGCCGACCCGACCGTCAACCCTAAACCCATCGATGCGCCAAGGCTCCTTGTATCTTCACATCCTGACGGCAGCCGGCGAGATCACGCACTGGGGTGTGGGTCTCTGTTTTGCAGGTGTAGCCTTCCTTAAGGACGAAAAGAACCCGAAAAGGGTTTAAGGTTCATATACCATATAGGGATTCATAGTACAAGGGTATAGGGCCCTTACTTTTAAGGGTCTTTTGGTCCT